AAATAGCCATTTGTTTTAAGCATCAGTTTTTATTAAAAAGTGCATTTTGATTAATTTATGATCTAGGTAAGCTGTAAGGTATCAGTATACTCTCTGGAATAATAACTTTACAAAGATTTAAAACAAACAGATTTTTAAAAGCCTTTTTTATTCCTTCACCGTTATCATTGTACAATACAAATATCACCTTGTGAATACACAGAAAGCCCTACGGAGGAGAACTCTGCAGCACATACAATACAGAATGGACCTAGATGCTTCTTCATTCTTAAAAACTAGGTTGTTCTCCATGTTGGCAAGTACTTCTCCAAACACACGTGTGGTAGGAGTAAAACGTATTGTTACATGCAGTTTCTGCACAAATATATTTTAAAGAAATAGATCTCTTTTGTGTTTTTCACCAACAAAATTGTCATGACAGAGTATGAAAAGCTAATTCATAGCTTTCAAGTTTTAGTTAAGTGATCCTTTTTAAAACTCTTTTCCTCTTTTTACAAAAAGGGGGTATTCATGGCTATTTTCATTGTGTAGTTAACATCAAACTATCAAACAGATGCTAAACTAAGTTACATGGTCCATGTCATTGCCCCCTGCTCACAATATGTGGGCAGGCGCTGATTCTCAGTTGGCCTCTTTAATTCGGAGCAATTTAAAAACCATAACCAGTCTTCTGATTTACGTTAACTATAAATGCAAAATTTAGTAGTGTATAGATACATTTGTATTTTCATGGAATACTTTATTTTAAATAAAAACATTAAAGATTGCCTACTGACCGTACAATCAAGACAAGAAAGGCACTAGAAACATAGACAAGTTTCTCTCCCAAGAAACATTTTTAAAATTTCAGCTCTCTTCTCTCTGACATGTAAAAATCTTTAAATTTGGTTTTCATAACATCATTTTGAAAAATAAAGTTAGGAAATACTTAGAAAAATCATTTTATAACAGAATTTTTTTTTTCTTTTTTTGCGCGTTTTCACCCACTGTCTCGGCAGATTTTACAAAATCCCAAGTTTACCAGACCTTTCTGTGTCTGTCATTTTGAGTTTCGATGCAACAGGTAGAAGACTTCAGAATCGAACCCCGTCGTCAGGTACTTCGAAACCTTCATATAGACACTGCTGGAAAATGGCTTACAGCCCAATCTTTGGGGCAAGAGATATGAAAAGTTATGTTTTCCCAAGAAAATAATACACTTTATTTCCAGAGGTGACTGGAAATGACCAGAACGTAGGATATAAAAGCTTACGTGTAGACTGTTGCATCCTATACAAAGGAAGACGGTGGCCGCAGGTTACGTAAACCCCCAACCCGTGAACGGGAAATGTGTACAGTGCATGATAGGTGAAGTTTTCTTTATTGTTGTCCAACACGGGTCCTTTGGAGAGAAAAAAAGATCACAGTGCTGAGCAGGTAACTCACTAAGTGAAGTCAAGGTAAATGTGGGCAGATAACGGGCGAGGGTGTGGGTGGTGTCACGGCATCTTCTTTCGTGGGGTTCGTAAGCACTTTGGGCACCTCCTCCTTCCCCAGGTGGCACTGCTGCTATGTGTCGTTCACCAGCCGGCTGTACTTCACTTGCCTTCCGAGGTGGACCACTGGCCAGGGGAAGGGCCAGTGGTAGGACCGAGGTACAATTCCTTGAACGTTCTTTTCAAAGTATTGAAAGGGCCGGTACCACCATACCCTGGCCAGGAGGTTCGTCTGAGAAGCTTCCTTTAGCACCTAACACAACGGGGAGGGAAGCACAAGTCAGCGACTGTTCCAGCTACAAGAAGCCCACACCCGCTCCGCTCACACGCTTTCGCTTTAAGTTCTGATATTTTCCATAGGACAATTCACGAAGGCCCGCATTTCCACCCACTCGGTCCAGCCTCACGCCCCCACTGCACTGCTCTTGCCCGCGTCGGCAAACTGGGGCACACCAGAATAGAGACAGCAACCCCCCAATTGTGGGAAAGCAAGACCACCTTGTGGGTCACTTAGTTCTTGGCTACAGATAGGGACCTCAATGGACTTTTTAGCTGCTGGGGCTTCTAAATGGAAAATATTAAAGTGGTAAATGTTAAATGCATTGAGCTGGTAAAGTGCGGGTAGTCAAAAAGATAGAGTGGGACTAGCTCTCACTCAAAACGCACTGTACCATCAAGTGGATGCCAACTCACAGCAACACTAGCCCTGCGCATTTCCAAGGCTGGTACAACCCTTTACGGGAGCAGCAAGTCTCGTCTTTTTCCCGAGGGTCGTGGTTTCAAACACCTGATCTGAGATGCTGGCAGCCTAGTGTACAACCACTAAGCTCCGATACTAGTTCTAGAAGGTAGCAATTTTTTTAAAAATCTGGATTCTGAAAGAGGATCAAAGTCACAAAACACTACATGATCTTAGTAGACTACCCTTAAGAGACACTGAGACCTTTGTGGACCCTTAGCACCCTGTAACCCCACCACCGGGTCAACAGCAGACTGACTCCCACAGACTCACTTGCTGATTGGCCATAGTGTGATACCACCAGAAGAGTCTCGTGGTGACGTAATATGCCACCACCACGTCCACAGTGTAGTGGTCATGCGCCAAGAGAATACAGAAGATTCCAGCCACGCTGAGAAGCCAGCAGATCCAGTGGTACCACCAGAGTCGCCGAGGGGAATCTGGAGAGAGCAGAAATTTGTAACCGTCCCCTCACTGAGTACCAAGGAGAGCACCCAGCGACGGCTCCCCCGTGATTTCTGAACAGAACCGCCCTCGGTCTCTCCTTTGGAAAACGGGTCTTTTTTCAGCTGTTGTTGTTAAATTAAAAGATCATTTTATTGGAGGCTCTTAACCGCTCTTATTAACAACCCAGATATCAATTGTATCAAGCTTATTTGTACATATGTTGCCATCATTATTTTCTAAACATTTACTTTTTATTTGAGCCCTTGGTATCAACTCTCCCCTCCATGACCCCTTGATAAATTATTATTTTTTATAATCATTAGTTATATTTTCATACTTCACACAGACCGCTGTCTCCCATCCCTCACGGTGTCTGTTGTTCGTCTCCTTGGGGGCGGGGTTGGGGGGGGTTATGTGTCAATCATTGCATTCGGTTCCCCCCGCCCCCACTTCCTCCCCTTCTCTTCCCACCTTCTCTCCCTACCCTACCCTGGTACCACTACTCCCACTCCTGTTCCTGGATTTCGCATGTCCTCAGCTCTTACCTCTTATCTGTACCTGTGCACAGGCTCTGTCAAGCCCGCAGTAAAACTCAGGACTTGGATCACAATAGTAGGGGGGTGAGGAAGCCTCAAGCAACCAGAGGAATATTGTGTGTTTCAGCGGTGCTGTACTGTGCCCTGATTGACTCATCCCTTCCTTGTGACCCTTCTGGGAGGGGATGTCCCATTGTCTACAGATGGCTTTTGGGTCTCTGCTCCAAACCCCCTTGTTCTCAACAATATGCTTCTTGTTGTTGTTTGTTTTGGGTCTTTAGATGCCTGTTACCCAATCCCATCGACACCTCATGATCGCACAGGCTGGTCTGCTTCTTCCATGTGGGCTTGTTGCTTCTCTGCTAGATGGCCACATGTTTAACTTCAAGTCTTTAAGGCCCCAGATGTTATATCTTTTGATAGCCAGGCACCCATTCTGTTTCTTCTCCACATTTGCTTATGCACCAATTTTATCTTTAGCAATCATGTTGGGAGGGTGAGCATCACAGAATGACAGGTTGTTAGAATAAAGTCTTCTTGTATTGAGGCTGGGCTAGAGCAGAGGCCCAAAGTCCGTCCACTTCCTCAGTGTATTGCCATATAAATATATGTACATAGGCCAATACCTCTATTTTTATGAATTAATGTATTCACATATGTACACACCAATGTTTAGACCTCTCTCCATTGCTTTGCTTCCTGGATCTTTCCTGTTTCCCTTTCCCTTCCTCCTGCCCCACCGTCACATTATTCCTCTCAGTTAGATTGCTGTTGCTCCGACACCCCCAGGATCTCTACGTCCTCCTTGTTGTTGATTTTAATTCCCTAGTTGTTCCCCTGAAAATGGGTCTTTGGGGACAGCAAATCTAAGGGCTAATGGCTCTAGCTTATCTGAAGCTAAGGTGAGACTCAAAGTAGCTTATTTATAAAATGATTATATTAGTAAGATGAATCTAGATTTGGTTATTACTTGGTTTAGCTAATGGTAAACACAGTTTTAAAGAAAATCAGTCTAATCAAATCAGGATAAGTCAGCACATTATGCTCCTTAAAAAAACCCCTTTTCTTTAAACACAAGGTGGGGGAAAAGCCCACTGACATTTAATAAGATTTATATCTGTTGAGTGGCTGGGTGATGCAGTTAAACACTTGATTCCTGTCAAAAGGTGGGTGGTTCAAGCCCACCAGGGGCACCTTGGAAGTGAAGCCTGGCAATCAAGCTGCTCCAAAGTGTTGCAGTCATGGAAACTCTATGGAGCCATTCTACTCTACAAGCCAGGGTCTCCACGTGTCAGCCATCAACTGGACCACACCAACCAGGGACGCTGTAACTTCTTACCCGTGGGCTGAGCAAGTGACACAGCTATCTTACTAACTTCCCAAACACAAGTATTCCTGAAGCTTAGAGTCTTTGAGATTTGCACTTCTCCAACACAAGTAAGAGAAATCCAAATGCCACGGGGAATTACTATTACAACCGCCTGGGAAATTTGAGTGCCCGGTAGGTCGGGAACCTTTTCATCGTCATCAATTCAACCCCACGTGTGCCGAGCAAAATTACTCCACGGGGCTCTCCAGGCGGCGACCTTCCCAGAAGCAGATTGGCAGGCCTGTCTTCTCCGGCACCTCTGGGTGGGTTCACCTATCAGCCTTTTGGGCAGCAGGTGGACTCAACCATTTTGCCACCCAAGCACTTCTAAATGGTAGGAGTGTCAGAAAACCACCTGTCTGCGTTGGACTTGTCTGTGGTCTGATTTTTGTTTCACGGGACTTGCCCCGCAGATGTGATTGACCAGTAGGAGCAATGACTATGAGAAATGGCAGGGGAGGAGAGGATATTGGAAGGCGGCTGTAGACTTACACTCTTTGATAAATAAGTAAGTGAGTGTGAGCATGACCGTGTGACCGCTGTACAGATAGTCCCCACACATGTTGTGAGAGCCGGTAATGGATAGGCCACCTCCAGCGATGAGCTTCATTATTCTCCGCAGTTGGGCTTCCCAGTCTCCAAAAAGCTAAGAGCAAAGGGAAAAGCAAGATTCATTATCATCAGCACTGATATCTAGGAACTAAGCTATTTAGCTAAGCTAATTAAGACATACAGAATCCCTACCGGGAAGTCTTTTATCCTTCCACGGGCAGTCCCTGGAAAGAATACGGTCCAGGGAGGAAGCCTGGAGCTTTAGAATATTTCCTAGGTATTAGCACGTTATTTTTTCATGATGTTTGCATCCACTTAAACAAATCCTTTTATTAGGAGTATTAGCACTTTAATAGCACGTTTCTGATGAGGTTAGGCAATGCTTTTATGATACCTCGAGAAAGATTAACTTGCTGTAACTGCCAGTATGGGGAAAAGAAAACTTGAATCTCTAATTCAGGGAAATCTTAGAGAGGCATTTTCACCAATAGTTGGCCTAGAGGACAACTGTTCTAAAGCAGTTGGAGGCTGGGGCAGTGAAATGTATGACGTATTTGGGGGGATGTGATTCTTTGGGACTAAACTGAAACAAAGGATTGAACAGGCCTGGGCCTTACAGCCTTTGAAATTATGTAGGTAACTGGATTTTTCTCCTTTTAATAAGAATAAAAATAAAGTCCATAAATAGATCTGATTTCGGATGCAAGTCCGGGCTGGAGAACACACCAGTGACGATGTAAACAACTCACTCAATGTAACATCTCTTTGCTCTGTTAATAAAATGTGTGAATTATTGATAGTTCATGCATGCCAGAATTCTTTTAAAGTCTACCTAGCCAATTTTATTGATACTATTTCAAAATTTCAGTGATGTTATTTCACCTTTGGGAAATTTTGTGATCATTTCCCTTTGACTTCTCGTCAGAGGGGGCGGCTGAACACATCCTGCTGCAGAGGAGAGTCGTTTCCAAAGTCAAAGGGATCACTGAAGGCCCAGCGGCAGAAGAAAACAGGCTCGTACACTGAGCTAGCCTCGTGCATTTTCAGAAAGAAGATGAGACTCAAAAGTCTGCAGTGGTGAAAAGCATGCAGGACAGAAGGCTTTGGAACCATGTCGTTATAATTTTGAGGGAAATTTATTTCTGACTTCGAAATCTATACCCAGTAATAGTATTAACCAAGCATAAGGAGAAACTGAGGCCATTTTCCCAATGCAGCAGTTGTTGCTGACGATCAAATGTGGCCCTGCACCCCGAGGGTCCCACGCACCATGGAGCAGGTGCTGGCCGCCCTGTGACTGACTGGACCACCATGACCCGGAGGCTTTCATGATAAAAGCCTTTCTTCCGAGTCTGTTATACTCCGCAGGCTTGGTCGAAACCTGTTCGGCACCACAGAAACTCGCAGCCCCCAATGACAATCAGGCGGTGGCTGCTGGGAGGTACCTTGGACAGGAACTGAACCCAGGGCTTCTGCATAGAAGACAAGGATCCTACTATGAAGCCACTAGAGCTCCCAGCACTTGTGAAATACAAAGGTGTTAAATATTTACCAACTGTTTACTCTTCTTCACGAACCAATGGTCTCCCGGGAAAGAGAAATGAACAGAGAGCTGCAGAAGCGGGGCCTGCCCCCCAGGGGGGCTCTGAAGAGCCATCTTCCAGAAGGTGACATGATGAACTATCGCATGTTAGTTCACACATTGGGGCAAGTATGTAGACAACTAACAAAGCAAAAGGCAAAGGAATTCCTAACTCTACAGGAAACAAAATATTGTGCACAAAAGGAAAACTAGCTGCCCACTGAGGAGGTGGGAAAAGGACCCGAACAGAAGTTTCACAGAGTCTGAAATCCAAATGGCCAATAAACACATGAGAAAATGTTCCCGATCATTAGCCATAAGAGAAATGCAAATCAAAACAACTATGAGATACCACGGAACATCCTCAAAGATAGCCCAATTCAAAAAATCAGAAAGCAACAAGTGTTGGAGGGGCTGTGGGGAGACAGGAACTCTCATCCACTGCTG